GGGCAGCAGTGGAGAGCACGGGGCTCCCTCAGGGCAGCAGTGGAGAGCACGGGGCTCCCTCAGGGCAGCAGTGGAGAGCACGGGGGTCCCTCAGGGCAGCAGTGGAGAGCACGGGGCTCCCTCGGGGCAGCAGTGGAGAGCACGGGGGTCCCTCAGGGCAGCAGTGGAGAGCACGGGGGTCCCTCAGGGCACCAGTGGAGAGCACGGGGCTCCCTCAGGGCACCAGTGGAGAGCACGGGGCTTCCTCAGGGCAGCAGTGGACAGAGCACGGGGCTCCCTCGGGGCAGCAGTGGAGAGCACGGGGGTCCCTCAGGGCACCAGTGGAGAGCACGGGGGTCCCTCAGGGCAGCAGTGGACGGAGCATGGCTCTGCCTCAGTGTCACTCACCTGTCTCCCTCAGGGCAGCAGTGGAGAGCACGGCTCTCCCTCAGGGCAGCAGTGGAGATAGCGCGACTCTACCTTACTCTCACTCACCCGTCTCTTGCTCGCAGTCACGTGACGCACTTCAACCAATCCGTGCCGCGTTAATCACAGTCACAGAATGACAGAGCTGGGTGTTTATGTAGTACTATAGTAATAGAGCAAGTGCAGAATCACTGAACCGGAATTGATAGCTTGAAATCATTTAGCGCGGGACCCTTGAAAGTGCGGGGCCCGTAGCATATGTAGCTACTTTTGCTACGAGGACAATATAATCACACTGCTCTGGGTCCCATTGATAACGTCGCTTCATTAAAAAAAATCCAAAAAACACTCCAAACATCGTGTTGTGCGTCTATTACTGGTAGGAACCTCCTGGTTACACCAGCCCACAGGGGATTATTGTGTCTGTCCGTCGTGCAGGGAGGGGCTGGGTGGGGAGGGTGGGGAGGGGCTGGGTGGGGAGGGGCTGGGTGGGGAGGGTGGGGCTGGGTGGGGGGTGGGAGGGGTGGGGCTGGGTGGGGAGGGGCTGTTCACCCCGTGGTGCCCTTATAAAACTCAACGTTTAACCTACTCACGCCGGCTCGTGCCCGCCCTCACAGTCGGGCATATTTGCGGAATACACCACGCCGCCGTTGACTCTGGCCATTGACCGAGCAACCCAACGTTCCTACCAGCTCCCTCCGCAGGAATGTGTTTAATAATCGTTTCGACCTCGGCCCACCTTCAATTTTGCCCCAGGCGATTGTCACGCAAAGGGACGCTACAGAGCCCGTCAAGGTGAGCGGGGTTTGAGAGACCAACAACAATAATAATAACAACGCTGAGGCTGCAGTGTTTATTACCTCAAAAAACACACGCAGGCTCAACAACCTCAAGCTATTGGGCGATCACACGCACTGCACTCGAGATCGTGGACCTTGACGGAAGTTCGGTTGGTGCCGTTGCTGCAAGGTTGAGTCGCTTGCATTGAGATCTCATCGCTGTCAACACCTTATCAGTGCCCTATACCTCGTTACAGACCAATTCAGACCGTATTGGTCACCCCGTGCCCCTTATACATCTCAACGTTCATCCTGCAAAGCCCCATCACAAGGGAGTAAACACAAACAAATCGACAAATGTTTTGTTGTTAGCCCGTATTGTACGCCGTGTGAACCTGGAAACTCAATTTCCCTGCACAAGAATACGGGGTAAAGCGTGTGGGTTGACACGGTGTGCGTTCTGCATCAACATCGGTGTGCCGTGTGTATCTCGCGACGCAACAGCTATCAACAGAACGCAATAGCATACAGAACACAATAGCACACAGAACACAATAGCATACAGAACACAATAGCACACAGAACACAATAGCACACAGAAGACAATAGCACACAGAACACAATAGCACACAGAACACAATGGCACACAGAACACAATAGCACACAGAACACAATAGCACACAGAAGACAATAGCACACAGAACACAATAGCACACAGAACGCAATAGCACATAGAACACAATAGCACACAGAACACAATAGCACACAGAAGACAATAGCATACAGAACACAATAGCACACAGAACACAATAGCACACAGAACACAATAGCACACAGAAGACAATAGCACACAGAACACAATAGCACACAGAACACAATAGCACACAGAACACAATAGCATACAGAACACAATAGCACACAACACAATAGCACACAGAACACAATAGCACACAGAACACAATAGCACACAGAACACAATAGCTTACGCTTAACGACCCAACTCACCACCATTAACACAATACCGCTCGTACCCTTCTCTAGGTGCTCAATCATGCACATACCCACTTCAACACTGGCGTCTGGGTACCGTGGGTATGGGGTTCTGTCTGATGTGGATCAAAATGTGGGAGGAGTCTGATGTGGATCAAAGTGTGGGAGGAGTCTGATGTGGATCAAAGTGTGGGAGGAGTCTGATGTGGATCAAAATGTGGGAGGAGTCTGATGTGGATCAAAGTGTGGGAGGAGTCTGATGTGGATCAAAGTGTGGGAGGAGTCTGATGTGGATCAAAGTGTGGGAGGAGTCTGATGTGGATCAAAGTGTTGGATGAGTCTGATGTGGATCAAAGTGTGGGAGGAGTCTGATGTGGATCAAAGTGTGGGAGGAGTCTGATGAGGATCAAAGTGTGGGAGGAGTCTGATGTGGATCAAAGTGTGGGAGGAGTCTGATGTGGATCAAAGTGTGGGAGGAGTCTGATGTGGATCAAAGTGTTGGATGAGTCTGATGTGGATCAAAGTGTGGGAGGAGTCTGATGTGGATCAAAGTGTGGGAGGAGTCTGATGAGGATCAAAGTGTGGGAGGAGTCTGATGTGGATCAAAGTGTGGGAGGAGTCTGATGTGGATCAAAGTGTGGGAGGAGTCTGATGTGGATCAAAGTGTGGGAGGAGTCTGATGTGGATCAAAGTGTGGCAGGAGTTTGATGTGAATCAAAGTGTGGGAGGAGTCTGATGTGGATCAAAGTGTGGCAGGAGTCTGATGTGGATCAAAGTGTGGCAGGAGTCTGATGTGGATCAAAGTGTTGGATGAGTCTGATGTGGATCAAAGTGTGGGAGGAGTCTGATGTGGATCAAAGTGTGGGAGGAGTCTGATGAGGATCAAAGTGTGGGAGGAGTCTGATGTGGATCAAAGTGTGGGAGGAGTCTGATGTGGATCAAAGTGTGGGAGGAGTCTGATGTGGATCAACGTGTGGGAGGAGTCTGATGTGGATCAAAGTGTGGCAGGAGTTTGATGTGAATCAAAGTGTGGGAGGAGTCTGATGTGGATCAAAGTGTGGCAGGAGTCTGATGTGGATCAAAGTGTGGCAGGAGTCTGATGTGGATCAAAGTGTGGCAGGAGTCTGATGAGGATCAAAGTGTGGCAGGAGTCTGATGTGGATCAAAGTGTGGCAGGAGTTTGATGTGGATCAAAGTGTGGGAGGAGTCTGATGTGGATCAAAGTGTGGCAGGAGTCTGATGTGGATCAAAGTGTGGGAGGAGTCTGATGTGGATCAAAGTGTGGCAGGAGTCTGATGTGGATCAAAGTGTGGGAGGAGTCTGTTGAGGATCAAAGTGTGGGAGGAGTCTGATGAGGATCAAAGTGTGGCAGGTGTCTGATGTGGATCAAAGTGTGGGAGGAGTCTGATGTGGATCAAAGTGTGGCAGGTGTCTGATGAGGATCAAAGTGTGGGAGGAGTCTGATGTGGATCAAAGTGTGGCAGGAGTCTGATGTGGATCAAAGTGTGGGAGGAGTCTGATGTGGATCAAAGTGTGGGAGGAGTCTGATGAGGATCAAAGTGTGGGAGGAGTCTGATGTGGATCAAAGTGTGGGAGGAGTCTGATGTGGATCAAAGTGTGGGAGGAGTCTGATGTGGATCAAAGTGTGGGAGGAGTCTGATGTGGATCAAAGTGTGGCAGGAGTTTGATGTGAATCAAAGTGTGGGAGGAGTCTGATGTGGATCAAAGTGTGGCAGGAGTCTGATGTGGATCAAAGTGTGGCAGGAGTCTGATGTGGATCAAAGTGTGGCAGGAGTCTGATGAGGATCAAAGTGTGGCAGGAGTCTGATGTGGATCAAAGTGTGGCAGGAGTTTGATGTGGATCAAAGTGTGGGAGGAGTCTGATGTGGATCAAAGTGTGGCAGGAGTCTGATGTGGATCAAAGTGTGGGAGGAGTCTGATGTGGATCAAAGTGTGGCAGGAGTCTGATGTGGATCAAAGTGTGGGAGGAGTCTGATGAGGATCAAAGTGTGGGAGGAGTCTGATGAGGATCAAAGTGTGGCAGGTGTCTGATGTGGATCAAAGTGTGGGAGGAGTCTGATGTGGATCAAAGTGTGGCAGGTGTCTGATGAGGATCAAAGTGTGGGAGGAGTCTGATGTGGATCAAAGTGTGGCAGGAGTCTGATGAGGATCAAAGTGTGGGAGGAGTCTGATGTGGATCAAAGTGTGGGAGGAGTCTGATGTGGATCAAAGTGTGGGAGGAGTCTGATGTGGATCAAAGTGTGGCAGGAGTCTGTCTGATGAGGCCCCTCGTCGTCGAGATGGACTCTGAGGAGGCCCTGCCGGCTCCACGTGGTCACGACTCAGGCCGTGCTGGGTCCTGGCCCACAAGCCGTGGGGTCGCCGCAATGCCGTGAGGTCGCGTGCTCGCCGACTTGCGGTGGAGTGGCCCGACTTGGCCCCGGCACTTGCAGTGGAGTGGCCAGACTTGACATTTGAAACACAAAGCAGAGAAAAGTGGATGCCTGAAAAAGGTGGGGGGCGTTTGTTTATATTTTTGGTGAAATTTTGGCGCGAAAAACCCACCACGAATATGTACAAGAATGTTGCCCGCGTTCTCCCGATTATAAGACGCAGCTTCACCGCCCGCGTGAGACCACATTTCGTGGACCGGGCACACGTTTACGGGGTGGGGGGGGGGGTGGTGCGTCTTATAATCCGGAGTACGCGGGCGACATTCTTGTACAAATTTGTGAACTTTTGGCGCCAAAACGTCACCAAAAATATAAACAAACGCCTCCCCCACCCCACCACAACCACCCCCCTCCACCCACCCTTTTCCAGGCATCCACTTTTCTTACTTCGCTTTGTGTTTTAAATGTCAAGTCGGGCGTTTGACAAATTCCATTGTAATCGGTCTTCTTTAAATTTCCACCTTGTTATTGCGTTTGTCTCCTTTGTAATGCCGCACCCAAACAATCAATCATGAACATGGCCGCACATCTCCAAGGCAGGACCATCCTGAGAAGGAGTCTGGACGCTCCAAAATAAATAATCGATAGTCTTACTCCTCCTGTAAACTGCACTGGCTTTTTGGCTTAAGGGGTATTGCAGTATAGTTTTGTTATCAGTAGATTTCAAGTCTCACGTGCTTAGCTTATCTTCCACAATCCTGTCGCTCATCGAATGTCGAGTATATTAAGCTTGGTTGTGCTCATTACATGGTGTTGTGGAACTGCAGCAGAGTATTTGCTTTCCATGAATAAACACCTTCATCCAATTACTTCATCTACCAGTCGATTGTTGATAAGAAAATCTCTCAAGTGTCTGTCATTCCCTTGCTCAAGATGATGGTGCCAGGTGCTGCACAAATGTTGTATTCTCATCTTTGGCAATCTGTTCAGGAGACAAATGCCAATCTCGAGGTCCACTGGTTACGACAAGAGGGCCTCGGGAGAGTTAATGTAGTGTTTGCTATTCGTCCATGTAGAAAAATGACAATGGGTGGTGGTGGTAGTGGTGGTGATAATTGGGGGTAATTTTCGAGGGGTAAGTTGCTCAAATTATGCATTTACTTTATTTTACACTTTTGCCATTGGAATTAAAATTGTTTTTCTCTCTCTCTCTTTGGAAGACACTGATGTCTGTTCTGATTTTTTTGTATTTTCAACTACCGGTGAGTCGAGCCATTTCCCAAAGTGTCCAAAGAAACCTGTTCCTGTACTGTAATTCAGTGATGGATAAGTGCCGTACACTGACAGCATTTCCAATATTGAGAAACGTGCTGTTCATTTCACATCGACAAAGCGCAGCGTAGCATCATCCAACGGCCTCAGAACATCATCAGAAGGACCACCACAGAGTGGAGCACGAGGAGACAGAAGCACAGGAGCACCCCGGCCCACATCAGCGCTTCATGCCGGGCGACGCCTGTCCGCCACGTTTTGATGCGGGTGATCTTCGGCACGTGCAGCGTCTCGGACAAACAGAACTCGCGCGGACGGCATCCCAGCTGGCGGCGTGCCTTGCTGATGCAGAATGTGTGCGTCACGCCGACGTTCCGCACCTACACACGAAGCACACGGGAGGCAACGACGATTGACGTCGCGGACAAAAAAAAACGTGGGCACTTTCAAAAACAAACAAAAAATGCCCCTGATCGCTGAGCACAGAGGTCCTCAAGGACAAAAACGCCAAGCGGCCAGCAACACACAGCATTGGTCTAAAAGATAACAAGTGAATGTTGCTTGAATTGAGCAGAGTTTAAGAACTGGGAGGGGGGAACGACGATGGGAGGGCATTGCAAGGTGGAGCAGGGCGAGGGAAGAGCAGGCTTCTGACCTGCGGTGGATGAACGCGGTGCGGGGGTTTCCACTCGTAATCAAGGCTGCGGCGTGAGAGTTGCACGCGGCGCGTCAGCAACTCTCTCTCGTCCCCGACTCCACAAGTCGCCCGATTGAAACCCAACTCTGTTGGGCCGGTGCTGCCCGCCGTCTCCTGCGCCTGTGACGAGGCCAGCCGAGACTGACCCTGCCTCCTCCGGAGGATGCCGAGTGTCTGGTGACATTTTGGCATCGTGCAGTTGTGACTTGAATTAATTAGCCAATCGCCACCACAATGACCTTCGCATTGACGGGCGCCCTTTTTATACCGGTGGTTTTACTCGCATTAATCACTTTTTTTTTATTATACGAGCGACTTTTGTTTTCTGAGTGGTGGCGAGTTCTTCACATTTCGCATGAGCTATTGCGTCGCTTTGCTGATGATTCCAGCACCGTTTGGCGCGATGTGAATACTGTGTTGTAAATAATACAGCATTAAATAAATATGGTGTCCGAGAAGCACGGCGGCTGGCGGCTTGGGTTAAGTAACAGCTCGGTTTAAGGTTCACGCCGAATCCCGTGAATGAGGTCATCAAAGCGGGATGGTGTTATTATAGACCCAGAGGCGTAATTCCACACGGCACTTCTTAAACAATGGCCGTCAATAATGCAACTCCGCCTGCTCTATTATGCATGCGTGCCTCGTTATTATAACGTGCACTTTGAAAACCTTTAAAAGCCTTTCCTCGTGTGCCTCGTGCCCTGTTTCTCTCATCACCTCTCAGCAGCCTGGAGCCCGCGTGTTGCAGTGTCGTTCGCCAAATACCCGACTCGTCAATTACAGCGGCAGTGACCGCATTCCACGGGTGCATTGCACGGACGCCCATCAATCGGAATTTGTTCATCTGATGAGTCAGCAATCGTGAAAGAGGGAATGCTCAACACGCAGGCCCGAGCCAGAAGACCCCGTGTGGATGACCTGGATTACAGATATCACTGCCTTACGAGTTACGTCAACACTCAAGAAATGCCAACGCCCAAAGGAGATTTGGGACGCAGTAGTCCGAGACGATCGCTGGATGACGAAGCGTCTGCTGCACCGGCACATCGGCGTTTGAGAGTGAACGTCTCGCAGAAGCCCGAAAGAAGCGACGTGAATGCATCTCTCACCGGTGCTGGTTTCAAACGGCCGGAATATATTTGGGACCGTGGGTCCAGATTTGGACTACGCAGTCACATGATTTGGAAACGTGTGAAATCCCGTCCGAATGTGTGCAAGCTCATATGCAAGAGAGCGTACAACACACGGCACGCACACACACACACCCTCCTTTGCCCGTGCCATGCCGTGCGATGGATTGCCCCAGAGTGCAGTGCATTTCGGTGCGGATTATTTGACAAAATATCGCGGATTTGGTGACTCTACCTCGCTCCTGGTGAGGAGTGGAGGGAGCTCCACCAAATGCCTCAGCAGTAGGTGCACCCATTCCATCGTCAGGGCTGCAGCCAAACCACACGGGGGGTGGGGGCAGAGAGGGGGGGGCATTCAAGACGTCAAAAGCTCTCAGAGGTTTACGCAGGTTACAACAAGTGCAGATCCAGTGGTATACTGTGACTACTGCAGTATATTGTGTAAAATCTGTAAATGATGAGAAAACATTGAGCGGGCTGGAAAACCACGAGTTTCAAACGATACGCAAACATAATGTAAAACATTAAACTATCACGTTTGATCAAATGTATGTTGTTGCTGACCCAAGACAAGAAGGCGATGCACTTCTGCAGGCAAGGCTGGTTGATGGTTGTTACATCGTGTGCACGATGTTACGTGCGGACATGAGGCATTCTTGAAAGTGAAGTTCTGCACGCATGGACCTGGCAATTCGTAACGTGTGTGTAGGTGAGTTCGCACCTGCAGCGTAGACCAGGTGAACAGGTACGCATGTCCGAGGCATGCTGTGCCCAAGCTTCTCAAACTGTTAAACAGAAGCATTGCCTGAGCATGAATGACCAGCACCGCTTTATACACGTGATTGACATGGGTGAGGCAGATAGTGAGCACAGGTGATATGCATTTAATAGAGTTCGTCACCCTCCCTCCCAAATATTGCTGAATCACATGACGGTGGTAATGATGACGCTTGTCTTGGTGGTGGTGATGAGTGTGGTGGTGTCGGTATTGGTGGTGATTCTAGTTGACACAGCAGGTGGTACAACTGGTGTATCTACCAATGATCTCAGTCAGCCAACCCATGGAACCTGCTGGGTCTGTCCCGTGACCTCCTGCACCTAGGCTGGCACAGAAGGGGGTACAGCTGGTGCATATATCGGTCATCTCAGTCAGCCAACCCATGGAACCTGCTGGGTCTGTCCAGAGATCTGTCGGCGAGCCTTCGACACTTCACGTGGCCTCAAAGTGCACCTGGCCTGGCACAGGCGCCGTGGTGACGTCACCGTTACTTTATGGCGAAATAGGTGGGTATTGGCATTATTGATTGGTGATACTAATACATAATAATGATGGTATGGGTGGTGTATGTGTGGTAGTAATGTGTGTGTGTGTGGGGGTGATGGCAATGGTGTGATTTGCAGTGGCAATGATGATAGTTATCGTAACGAATACAAACTCGTAGACAAACCAGCGGTTGCAGCCATTGAAACACGTTCACTTGCTCTCCGTCATTAATAGAATGCGCTTGCACACCCTGCGCACAGGCACAAAGAGAGACACGCGCACACACACACGCACACTACAACCGCTGCACAGAACACGACTCCAACAAAGTTGAGTAATGAGCAGTATCACGTGACACTTGAAACGAGAAGCATGCAGAACAGTCCTGACAGTTACACTAACTTTGACCCCATTCGTCATCATCGTTCACCACCCCCTTCCACGAGCGCTCTCATTCTTCTTCCTCGTTTTCTTACGATGTGAATTGGCTCGGTGCTGTTGGAACGCCAGGGTATTTTCCATTTACAGTAACTTGCAGCTTTCTCTGTTCAAGGTTTATGCGACCCAAAATACAATGTTTCAGCTCTGTCAGCCCGTTTATATCTCCCTCAGCTGTGTGTCCCTTGCTCTGAAAATGGTTTGAGGCTCCATGAATGAAACAGAGACAATACAATCGTGGTCTCGGGCACTTCAGTGAGGTCACTGCAGTGACAGGAATGCACAAGTATGAGTGACAGCACGGTGACATCAGTTGTCTTTGGTGTCGCTGTGCTCACGCGCCACACAATAACAGATGCTGCTAATCCTGCATAATGCACGGGCATAATATGACTTTGAAACCCCCCACCCACCTCCTACGCATTTCACAAGTAGTACTAATCCCATATCTGCATTTCCCATAAATATGCTAAATTTCTCTTGATATGCAAATTCTTTTGTCAAGGCGCGCTTTCCCCTCCAACCCAGATTAAATAGACGCTCCAAGCCTGGGGTGTTTCATTCAGACGCTGTCTTCCCGACAGACCTGTTCTTCACCTGAGGACGGCTGCTTGCGTTGTGGCCGAAACGTCGTGAGAATTATTTTATTATGTTTTATTTTTATTATTTTATTATTTCCCTTCTACGTGACTTTACCGAAAGAACCAAGAAGATGAATCCCTGCAGTCACGAAAGCTTTAAATCGAAAAATCCACGCAGTATTATTGACAAACGTGTTGAGGTTGTTGTTGTTAATTGTGCTTGTACACCACTGCCAAAGCAACAGCATCACCAAATAATGTGTTTAACGTGTATAGGTTATATATTTCAAATCCTTATGTGCACGTGCCATTCCAGCGTTTGCTAATGCGCCCATCAATCGACACCCTGGACACCCTCGCAAGCGAGCTATTCCATCGCAAGGGACTCTTCCAGGTGCACTATGTTAACGATGAGATATCTGAACAACAGTTGCGTGTGGACATGATACTCCGGTGCGATGCGACAGCAGCTTACATACTCTTAGTTCTTTCGGTAAAGTCACGTAGGTAAAAAATGAAATTAAAATTTATTAAAAAAAAACAATAAAATCACGACGTTTCGGAGGCAACGCAAGCTTCCGTCTTCAGGTGAAACTGTCACAGCAAAAAATCTGTATCAAGTGGATTTTATTGTTTTTTTTTATTTTAATTTAATTTTTTACCTACGTGACTTTACCTAAAGAACTAAGAGTATGAATCCTTGCAGTCACGAAAGCTTTAAAGCAGCTTACATCGTTGCTACACCTGTGGAGTGCGCATTAGATCCTCTCGTGTCTGCGAACGGTTTCCGTGGGATTGTCGGTAACCCCGGTGGGACAGTACCTGCTCGCGAGCGGGCATGCCGCAGGAGGCCGTGTGGAGCACGCAGGGGACGCCGCTGCAAGCCGCCGCCACCGCCTCGTAGTCCCCCACGTCGGCCTGCGCGCGCCACGGGACACGGGGCACGGTTGGATCTACGAACCGGTCCGCTCCGCCTGCCCCATCTGCGTTGGAGTCGTGTTTTGTACCTGGAAGAAGTTTCCCCGTGATGGAAGAGCTGTGGAGCTTCGTCCCAGTTACTGGCGTGCCGAAGGAAGGAAAACACTGCGAAGTTGATCCGTGCCGTGGACTCCGTTGAAATCTACTTCCCGGTTGTAGCTGGCAAGGGGTGGATATTTGTCGAAAACCTGCCCCCAAGCAAGCTGTCGAAAACCTGCCCCCAAGCAAGCAAGGTGTACGCCAGGCCCAGGAAACGACGCTGTTTCTACCGAAGTGTAAAGCCGAGTGACCGAGTAGCCCAGTGGACAGCGCCGCTCGCTGCTACTCATTGCAACGAAGCTTAAGATCGCATCGTCTCACAGCTGTGCGTAGACATCTCACGGAAACAATCAGCATTATGAATGCCTTCAACTCTAATGACAGCAACGGTATTGAAGTTTATACAAAGACAATTACGTTTTTATAAAGTTAATCCGTAAAGCGAACGCGCAGTCTGAGCATCAGTCCGAACACGAGAACGCACCGCGTGCCACACGCGAGAAGAACGGCAACAGACTCCACGGGGCTCCAACTCTCTAGCGGCTCATCACGAGCTCTGTAGCCGTCCGGGCTGCCCGCCTGCCCGTCACCGGCGAGGCGGCAAGGCTCCCTCGCCGACTCTGCCCCTCCATCACGACGCCACGCGAAGTCGCTCCCCGTAGGCGGCCCCCTGGCCTCTCGCTCTGCCTCGCCTCTCGCTCTGCTGCTGCGTCTCGTGTGGCACAGGAGGAGAACGGCGAGCGCGAGTAGACAGCGAGGAAAGGAAACAGTAGAATGTAATCAATACTTAATGAAGACCCCCAACACACGCCCATTTGCTTAATGCGAAGATGTGTGTGTGCGCGTGTGTGTCGGGCGTGGTGCTGGCCACCACAGCCAATCGGCCTTCATAGGTTCTGCTCGCTCACAGCGCTTGCCCCAACAGTCTGTTAAGAGGCTACACGGGGGATCGTTGTCTTTGGAGGCAGAGGGTACCTGGTAGAACAATGCCATTCGTGCTGTCACGTGGGTTGTCGTGGCCAGCGAGTCCTCTTAGAGTCTAGACGGAACAACGCAAAGTGCTGTTCGAATATGGTGCGTGGAATCGAAAAACCCTAATTGCCGAACGATAACAATTCACGCGAACAGTTGAGAAGCCCCTTGGCAAAGTGGCCTCCTGCCGGACGAGGATCTCCCCCATGCTGTGTCAGCAGCCGTGGAGGAGGGGGCTGTTTGCCCACTTCTTGACCACGCCGCTTCGAACCCGTTGGTGCAGCGGGCACGCCGGGCCGCCTTGAGGCGTCACTCGCTGCTACTGATGGCAGCCGTGGCCAGGAGTCGAACCGACGTCGCAGGGGGTCGTGGGTGTGCTCACCACTGTGCCCACTGCACCGCCCACCACGTGGTCTGACTGCTTTCACGGAGCACGGTCGTCCAAATGTCAACGTCTCCAGTCCACATCCTGCCTAGGGGCAGTCTCAGCCCCATTGTCTCTCTGGACAATACACTTTGTTTTGTGATTTGGTTACCCTTCATATTTAATTTGGAGCTTTCGTGACTGCAGGAATTACTCTTTGGTTCTTTCGGTAAAGTCACGTATAAAGAGAAAATAATAACTTAAATACTAGCATACGACGTTTCGATTGCAACACAAGCAATCATCATCAGGTATAAATGAAATAGAAAACAAACCTAGTATACTTAGAAATGTAATGCGATACAACACAGAGAGTCGGCTAACATAACAGTCAACACCCTACCTGGTTGATTACGTTCTTCCAGAGAATGCTAAATTTGAGAGGGAGATAAAACACAGAACTGGAGACATATAGACAGACATATAAGCAGAGAGATACATCACAGAGATACATAGAGAGAGACACGTACATAGGCACACAGAGAAACCCTTCCTATACTGTACCGTACTTGGCACTCCTATCATGATTTGATATGTCTGTTGGATTATTCTGACCTGCCCCCACTGGACACCTGTGAAAACGAGCTTCATAGCTCATCGGATTTCGCCTGCACGGTCACCACCAGGGCTGCTTTATTTCTCACGAGATATTTGTTGAACCCCCCCACCGATAGCGAGGGGGGGGGGTATTTTCTGGAGCTCAACCCTGGCCTGCTCCATCTGAAATGAAGCCCTGATCCCCACTGTATTAGCGCACACAACTCTATTAATAATGCCCTGAGCCCTGTAAAGTCTCACTCGCGATGAGTTTCTGCTCAGCTTTTTTTTCTTTTTCTAGGAGATCCCCGCATTGGGGTATTTGGCCAACAATTGCCACCTTTGCTGCCACGCCAAGATGCCCAATGTTGATTTTAGAAGCTTGAACATAGCAAACAAGTCCCTTGAATGACGTCCTTTCAGCGCGTGTTTGTGTGTGCGCGTGTGCGCGTGTGTGCGCGGTTGCTAAGTGGTGACGTAATGCACACAACACGTGGAGCGCTGCGATGCGATGATGAAGATGAAGAGGGGCTCCGTGGAGGTTGTCGTCTTTGTGGGCTCCGCTCCGGTGCTGGGTTTGGAGAAGCGATAGTGCACCATACACGCACGCCAGAGTAGCGGCGTAACACACTCACGTCGTCCGTTGTGTAACATGCGGGGACATACTTTAAGACATGGACAGATTCTTTTTTAGAAGCTAAATAATCGGAAAACACAAATTCGGCACGGGCACGCAAGTACAACTGACTCTGTTTCATCAAACCCCTGTGTAGCTATGAACATATTGTTTTACTATTGAGAACCCAAAGGCTACAGTAGAGGCTAATAACCACGGCTTTAGAACAACAGCGGACGCCCTCTATAGAATCGTGTAGTTCAAGCCAGCAGAGTGGCCAGTCGCCGTGGAGACTGCGAGCAGGAGGCTGCGGCATGGCTCCCAGGACGTTGAAGAAGAGCGGGCACAAGAAGGCGACCAAGAAGAAACGGCGAGTGTTTGACTGCATGCACCTCGTTGCACTTCGCGATGATGTTGTTGTGTTTAGCCGGGCCACGCACGCACGGTCACGTGGGCACGCGTGGTGTTTACATTTACAGGACATCTGTGCAAAAGAGCTTCATAGCTCATCGGATTCCTCCAGTACAACGAAATATTCTGATTATCAATTTGGGTTCGCCGCCTGTCGCAAACGTGTACGGTAGCCCTCGGCTATCCGTGCGGGTGTAATAAGATCCTTGATAATACGAACCGTGCCACGGGCAGCCCACCTCACTCGCAGTGGAGACGTTAAAGACGAGAGTAGGGACCATGGCGTGCCGGTGGCAACCTCCAAATGTGAACTCATTTGTGTGTTCCCAATTTGAATAGTCCACCAGCGCAAGTTGTTACTCAGCTTGTGGATTATAGAGAGCAAGAAACAACGCATCCCTCCCAGCTCACTCGTGCAGACCAAACTCATCCTGCACCTCATGAGATCTCAGCCGGGGTTAATACGCTTCACCAGCCAGCGATGTTGCCGGCGTACGTGGACAGTGAGCTGTGTGGCAGGACACGTGGAGTATTGTTGTTGTTGTTGTTATTTGTCGACAATGCCGTTGGTGGCAGTGGCGCGGTGATGAGCAGAATCTCTGAACGATGCGTCGATGACTCCGTGACCAATGAAAGGGATAAAAAAAATAGGCGACGATTCGAGCAATGACCCTTCTTCAGAGCACACCGGTCATCTTCCACGTGCCTACTATGCAGAATCAGAACATTCATCTCGACTGCAGGAGGAATCCGATGAGCCACAAAGCTATTCTTCTTATTCTTCTTCACCGGTGTCCAGTCGGGACACGGGGTCGGAACGCTACGTGCATATTCAGCCACATCCATGTTGCGCCACTGTTATGTTGCTGTTGTTGTTATGTTGCTGTTATGTTGTTGTGTTGCTGTTGTGTTGTTGTGTTGCTGTTGTGTTGTTGTGTTGCTGTCGCGTTGCTGTTGTGTTGCTGTTGTGTTGTTGTTATGTTATTGTTGTGTTGCTGTTGTGTTTTTTTGCTATTGTGTTGTTGTGCTGTTGTTGTGTTACTGTTATGTTGCTGTTGTGTTGTTGTTGTTGCTGTCACTCAAACCGCGACGCGAGGCCCTCCCAGCACGCCCTGCGCGTGACACTCGCTTCTCGCGCGCGTGAACATGGGGGGGAGGAGCGGTGGCGCAGCGGTTAGCGTGCTGCTCTACGAACCAAGCGACCCCCAGTTCGATTCCCGCTCACGGCCACCAACACCAATGACGATTATCTGAACCGGTCCTGGCTGGGCCTCTCCTAGGTCTACTCAGCCTCAACTTAGTAACATCGCAACTGGCGTGGTGCTGGCCACCCACCAACCCTCTTGTGTCACGTGACGACCTTCAGAGGGGTTACTCTCTAACAGCAGCACTTGCTCCAAAACGTCTGTTCGGACTACACGGGGCATCTTTGTCTTTTGCCAGTACCAAAATATACTAATAGGAGTTTCCCCCTTTTTTCTGGCAACAAAACTGACACCTTTTGCAAGGAATCATGTTTACATTAACCACAATACTTGCAGTCAAATGCAAACAAAAAACAATACTCTGATAATTTATGCATTGTCCTTGAAACTGATTGGTCCACACCAGAGACAGCTTTCTTTAGAGCCTAGTCTCATAAGGCGCACGCCTTTTGGCGTCATCTGGTCGAACACCATATGAGACTAGGCTCTAAAGAAAGCCATCTCTGGTGTGGACCAATCAGTTTGAAGGACAATGCATAAATGATCAGAGTATTGTTTTTTGTTTGCATTTGACTGCAAGTATTGTGGTTAATGTAAACATGATTCCATGCAAAAGGTGTCAGTTTTGTTGCCAGAATAAAGGTCGAAACCCCTATTGGTATCGTTGTCTTTGTCACGCGCGTGAATATTCAAATTCACTTCCCTCCCGTCGCCACGTGGAGTGCGTCGCACGCCACCCGCTGGCCGCCGCGTGCTCTGCATTTGTACAACTTTAAAGATTGACATTATTAGATTATTAGTATAGTTCTGTAGAAGTAACAGGCTCCTCACGTTAATTATTGATCGATTCACGTTGGTTCTTACCACGCTCGTACACGTGTGTAGGAGCAGCCTGTTCTTTTTATTTCTTTCTCGGACGAGTCAAACAATACAATCTGCAGGGTACAGACAAAACTCGACTCACCAGCCAGTAGAATGATGCGAAACCGTAGAGTTCAAGTTCAAGTTCATTTATTAGGTAGAGCCCTGTGAGCCATTCGGCTCTTGAATCGGGTGCAACCGCAACAAACAAAAAAACATGAACAAAAACATCTTAAAGAGAACGGACCGTACAGTTGTGACCACTTCGGACAAATCAGACTATTAAAAAAACGAGTCAGTACAAGACAAAAGGGTTTATAGTTATATATTTTGTAATCAAATCATGCTGGTGACATCTGGCAGCAATTGATTCTGAGGAGGAGTCACCGTGCGTTTGCGTGTGCAGACATCGACTTACAAAGACCCACACGACCCCTTCCTGTCAACCCCCTATCAGTGCCCTACCTCATTACAGACCAATCAGACATTATTGGTCACTCCATGCCCCTTATACATCTCAAAGTTCATCCTACACAGTCCCATCTCAAGGGAGTAAACACAGACAAATGTTTTGTTGTTAGCCCCTATTGAAACGGCTGTACGCCTGAAAACTCAATTTCCCTGCACAAGAATACGGGGTAAACCGTACGGGTTCACAGCTATGCGA